AGATCCGAGATGCAGTCTATGAGTATGCCCTTTGTTCTTTCAGTCACCGCCGTGGCCCGTATGATATTACACAGTGTGCAGGTCTGTGTTCATGGACAGATGTGCAAATATGCCATTTCACTGGGGATCTCAACCTCTTGCTCGTGAATAAACAAATTCACAATGAAGGCTACAAGATTATGTTAGAGAGGAACCTATTTGTCCTTGTTCAAATCCACGACTCCACGGACGAACACTTAATGATACGCGGCCATTTACCCCCAGTATTTGCTCTGTATTCCGCCTACCAGGATGAACGAGAGCAGGTGCGTCCGGAATCATTCCCGTGGCACACCATGCGTATAAGACTGAACGAAAAAAATACTACACCAGAAGAGATGGCGATGAATGGCGAATATAATGATATTGTTATGTTATTGGAAGATTGTATGGATATACTCAAGAGATTTGAACTTCACATTACCGATGAAAAGCTGCCTGACCCAAATGAAAGATTGCTTTCTATGCGACTACCAATAAAGGTGGTAGTGGATCTCAATCCCAAGAGGAAAGAGTGCAACAGGGAGACCAGCTACATGAATATACGGAACTCCCACTCAGACATCGAGCAGAAGAAGCTTCTGAAGCACATAGGAGACACTTTTCGCGGTTATGACCATTTTGAGATTAGGAATTGCGATGACAAAGTACTAGCTACCGAAGTTGTCCAGCAAGTATCCAAGGATCCGGCTATCAGTCTGGCTTTCTTCCAAGCTCACATCGAAAGACATGCCCACAGTTCCGAAGCCTCTTGGAATCAGGGAAACATCGTGGAATGCGCCAACTTCTGTACCGAGGGGCTTGAACTAGTCCACTGTGTTCGATTTAGCGCTCCACTCACGTACCAGCTGTGCGACCAAGGTTTACAGAATTGTTTCCATACGAGCCAGTTTATTCACAGGCTATACTACCTCTTAGCACGGTGCACTTTTGCTCATCTCTCCAAGCTAATGGATAAGCGTATCGAAGAAGATAATTACCAGTACATCGGGGATACCGCCCATGCTCTTTTCGACTTGCTCAAGACGCACAGAAAACGTGTCCATGGCTTCTTGTCACATTACGATCCTCCCATTCACGAAAAAGCTGAAATCAATTACATGAAAGCGAAGGCCCTACGTGTAGAATGGGAGTTTTATTCGATGAGACCATGGGGCGAAATGCTCAGATGTATAGAGGACGCTAAAAGGTTGCAACCAGGCGATCCTATCTATGAGGAAGAAGAGAGGAAAGCAAAACTTTGGCTCGGAGAAAACGCAAGATATAATGTTTGGGTCCGTACTATTGATTGGGAGGGATATCAAACGATGAGGTATTGGAGGATGGAGATTGATAAGTCGGTATTTGAATTTTGAAATGTCTCATCAGCTAGCGACATAAGAATGAGCCAGATAGCGTATATTATGGTTCCGATGAAGTGTATTCAAACAGATGAGTGTGATATTGCAATTGATGGAGGTTGGTATCAAAGGTCGATGAGCAAGTACGCGCTGGCCAGACTATGAAGAGCGATCAGACGATTTGGTCAAAAAGATGCATGTGATCTTGATACATAATTAGTATGCTGCCTGGATTCCTATATTAACCTACAGGGAATCGATCATCGAGGTTGGCTCATCATAGAGTACAATCCCGAACAAACACCCACAACTCGTTATGGGGTATAAGCGATGTTGTGGTACAAGCCGAGCTGACACGTAGCTCTTGTGGCGTCCAGCACGAGCATGGAGCTGAACTCGCTTAGTATAAAATCAGTTAGATTATTTGATGGTGGCTTAAGGCGGTAAGGAACAGTGTTCGTGCCGTGTAGGAAATGTGGTCGAAACCGGATATGATTTCATCATCGCCCACTTTTGAGGTCTAGCGTGCTGCATGCACAGACTTCCCGTGGCGGGTATTCTAATTGATCTACACTTGGGGCTGAACTACTATACCATAAAATGCTATAGAAGGGTATGCATGTCGGAGATCAGTTAAACTTGAATAACGCCATCTAAAAAAACGAGGCAATGTTGGGTAGGGTAGGAATAGTGCTGTGGGGCCAGAGAAGGTCGTACATCTACCAAATAACAAGACATTCAATTCAATATTGCGTTACTATTAAATGCCTTAAGTTCACTCAAAGAATATATTGTTGAATGAATAACATCGGCAATCACGAGTTTAGTGTCTGACGGTTCCTGAGCTGTGTTGTTCTGCCTTTAAGATCGTCGATCGCGTCAGTAGGTTTAGCTCTATCGATCTTGGGCCCGGAAGCCTGGACTAGGGAGAAAAGCATTTCCGCTTTAAGATAAAACATCAAGATCAGCCAATTGCAATGAATCCACTGGTCGATCTGCAATACAAACACGGCACAGGTGTTTCGTCAGCCCAGCTGATAGCAATACAGGTTGGACCGCTGATCCACTTCGCAAGGAAAAGGGACACCATTCGTTCTATATAGTCAGCGGACCCTTGCATAAACTTAGACACATCTAAGTTTTGCACAAAGTTATGATCACTGAGACATTCCTGGAGGCTTCAATCATACCGCCTCCAAGCACTGCTAGTCCACTTATTCACATTTCTCTTAGAATTGTTTCGTGATAGACTGTCCCATGAAAACCTCGTTTCAGGGCAGACAGTCTTTCTTAGCACAAGATGCTTGACGGAAGCTCCATCGCAGCCATTCTTACAGGCATTCTTGCTCTATGCGGTGCCCTTGCGACAGCCTGGATGTCTGGGTTGAACGAAAGACGACTGGAATCGCGCAGAAATCGAAAAGCACTTGCTCGGTATTCGGTACCTCTCCTCATCGCATCTTGGGACCTCGCCAACTGGCTTTACGATATCCTCGAAGACAAGTACTATAGTTCGGAAAGATGCGAGGCCTATGGGGATGGCTGGGACCCGAAATTTACCTCGTTCTTGTTTGGCCAGTACTTTGCTGGCGTACACATCATCCGCGAAATGACGCAATATTTTGCGCACATAAGAGGCGAACGGGCACATTTGCTGAAGAGGCTTCTCTGGAAGATACAAGACGAATTCATATCAATGCATTACATTGGACGCGAAAGTCTAGAAGTTCGTTGGTTTGAAGGCGACCTATTGAGTATTCAGGAACACATGACCATCTCTACTGATCTGGATGGTGATGGAAATGAGGCTGAGCTACGTACAATAGGATGGGTCGAGTTTCAGAAGAACTACGCAGCAAAAGCTACAGCCGACAAAGCCGACAAATCAAAGGAGTTGAAGAAAGTGTTTGGGTGGTACGAGGACGAGTTGCAAAGCATCATCTATCGCCGTTTCAGATACTTGTACTCGACTACATGGGAGGGTAGCGATAATCCCCAAGGTTACGAAAAGATGAGGGATAGTATAACTAGTGAGAAAGAACTTGAAGTGTTGGAGAAATATGAGAGGGACATCCAAAAAGAAAAGCAGCGAAATCCAGGAATCATCACTGTCATACCCGATCATCGAATTCGTCGCATCCAGCATCTTCTGGTCGATCTCACAATACTCTTGGACAAAGAATCCGGCATGGAGTTCAACCGCCCAGTACGAAGATGTCACATGGACGTTGGCGAAGCCGTGTTATCCCACGATACTGTCTTGCTAGCCCACAAAGACCGGGCTACCGCGCTGGACGAGGGCACTGCGGTACTAGCTTACAAGACTCCTGTACAGCCTCAAGAGACGAGAGAGCCCTTCAGATATCGAATCCTCTGCGATTGCGCTTCTGCTGAATGTAACCCCAGCAAAGAAGACTTCAAGCATCGCGATCTGGAGTCTAATAGGATACAAAATGGTCTTGTCAAGAGAGCTACGCTTCGTTATCGCAATTCTCAGAAACAAGATATGGATAGGATGAATTCTGGAAAGAGGAATACGGAAAAGGATAATGGGCATCAGTGCTAGTGTTTGCTTCATCGATGTTCATTGCGAAAGTGAATTTGACCCTAATTCCGTCCAATCTTATTGTTCTGGTAGTGCACATATGGTCCTTGGTAAGAAGGGCTTTTTAAAGAATATTAAATCCATACAGAAAATAACGTACAAATGATTTACACCGATTCTTCTAGCTGCCTCTAAAGTCATATAGTCGATGCCTAGCTTCTGCAGCAGGTTTGCCAGCGTGAGACCTGTAGCATGCTGGTACTCAGTGTAAGTTGGGGTTATATTTGTGTATCTGAAATGGACTCGTTTTCTTCGATTACGTTTTTCGCTCGTTGAGCGCCGGGAGTAGAAAGGTATTTCACTGATGGGGCTTGGCTATGACCGGGTATCGCGATTAGTTTATGATGCATCGGCATCTTGATAGCAGACTAATGGGGTAGTTCAAGTGACGCCGTGATCTTGGAACAATGTCACCACCAAGTTGTGTCGAGGAGAATACCAGCATCACGTGACTACAAGATTGAGTGGCGCTTGATATGCTTCACAAAACGTGAATCAATATTGGCTACTATACTAATCAGATGAATCTCGAGAGCGTGAAATTTCCAGTTTGATTATACACAGGGGCCAAGAGATATGAAAAACGGGAGCAGATGGTACAATGAAACAATTTTGGTATTTCGTTTTTTTCCGTATGTATCCTACGATACATTGTTCCAGCCTCATATAAGATGCGAGCTAAATAGGAAGAGGCCTATTACTACGCAATCCATGGGATAGAGAAGTTGTAATTTGGGCCATTAGATGATCTTAAACTGAAACGGCCATGGCCTGAGAGTGCTGAGTGCAATCGGTGGCTAGCAGATACTGAAGGAGGGTCTGAGCCTTTTCAAGTTGGATATATGTTCCAACTGAGGTACCGGAAGTCCAAGGATGTGGCCTTGTGTTAAGGCACACATTAATTCTGGATTGCGCGGATTCCCAGATGTGGTTATGCGAATCCGCGAGAGTGTTGGGGTTCCACAGGCCTGGGGTGGCTATACAAGTATTTAAAGAGGCAACTCGCGTGGCTTGCTTCAAGTCTCGCTCTTCTTCCTCTCTCCCTGTGGGTCGAACCCAAGAGTGTCCAATTGGCGGATTAGCTCGTTGATCTTGATGACCTTCTCAAATTGCTCCGGAAGCAATTTGTCGCCCTTCTCCTTCTTATCTTTGAGCTCGCGAGCCTGTCTCAACTTCTTAGCAAGCTTCTTGGCTTCCTTCTCTTTCTCGGCTTCTGGATCAAAGACTTTCCCAGGCTCCGGGTTCGCCTCGTCCTTGTCCTTGTTCTCGGTAGAACCAGGCTTCGGCTCTTCCTTGCTGTCGCTTGCAGAAGCTGCTGCTTTCTTCCTGGCTTCCCTGCGCTTGGCATTCTTATTTGCAGCAGGGCTCATTTTATTGGTCTCATCCTCCTTGGTGATGGTCTCAGCACCTGGCACGCCGCTCTTGCCTCGGTTTCGAAATCCCTCAGCAGTACGGTTCTTGTAAAGTTCAACATCCTCGGGTGGGCGGTAGCCTGGGCGAACCCGGATTTCTTTGCGTATGGAGCCATCTGGACGAACAGAGGACGGAATATGACGTTCACCGGTGGCTGATGTTGTGATGCCAGCCTTTGAAATGGCGGGGGTAGCTGCTGAAGGCATGGCGTGAGCAGTTGCGCCTAGGGGTACAAGACAACCGCGACCGCCCAGAAATATCAATTGCTTTCGTGGGACCGTTGCCGGTCCGTTCCAGGAACTTGGCGTACACCTAGTTTGTGTTGATATGAGCTGTTTGCAGTGTGCAGTGTGAAAATGGGCGTGGTGGGGGGGTCAAAGTAAGGTAGAGAGCCAAGCAGGAGCCGCAAGCAGCCAATTAGCGCAGTGTAAATCCCCGTGACGCGAGAGCTTCAATCTTGTCGACGAACCTCGCCCTTTGACACCGACAGCAAAGTACCACCACATCCCGCCAAACAGCCCACCAAGCCCCTTCGACACGTCCAAAATGTCTGGCGTAAGTTAATTGATGCGAAGAATGGCCTCGAGCGCCCGCTAACAGCCACATGCAGATGCTCGGCACTGTCTACAAGCAAGTCTTTCCTCGCGCATATCCTTCGCCAGACCCCCACTGACCATCGATGACAGCGCGGTCCTCCGCAGCAACACCACCATGTTGTTCACCGTCTTCGGTGCCGCTTTCGGCCTTCAGCTGTATGTCGCAAAGATCGGGATATGAGAGTGCGGAAGGGATGGAAGCTGATGGAAATTACAGGGCGTTCGACACCTCCTCGGACAAGATCTGGGACAGAGTCAACCGCGGCGTATGTAACACCAATGGATCATCGAGGGCGATGTAAGCTAATGCAGTTGACAGCGACAATGGAAGGACATCAAGCACCGATACATGGAGGCTGCCGAGGACGACGAGTAGGAAAAGCGACTAGACTACGACTCGAGCATGATATAGACTTCTCTTTGCGGTTCTTGGGGACAGCCACAGTCCATACCAGTGTAATCTACAACATGTGAAATACCAATTCAAGTTGGCAGCCCGACCATTGTTTTGCCATGTGCATTTGCGCTGTGGTATCCTGGCTATAGGGCTAGGCCGCTGCATGCGTGAGTTGGATGTGATTGAACCATCGTGAAAAGTGGTGCTGTCATCTTACGTAGGCTTTCTGGTAGCGTAGAAGAGGCCATGCATATGCGATGGGAGTGAAGATACAGATAGATGGAGCCTTTAGTCAAAAACCAGGACCAAAGTGACGCATCCGTATACTGCAGGAATCGCCATAGCGCAGACTACCCGTCTTGTCTTGCTGGTGAAACGACAGTCGACTCTGGGGCAAGTGTTCCTTCGCTGGTGGCGTTGCGCGTGCCTCGGGGGTCCGCCCTACCTAGATCCTCACCTCGAAACTTAAACATATGACATAGCGCCGCACCCCGTCCTCCACTTAACCACAAATACTCAAGCAATCACAATCACGCAAGCCCTCACTCACGTGGCAGGCCCACACCGAACACTGCCAGCACACATCCTGCTCTGTTCATACACGACATCTGCCTCCGTCGCGTCTGCGGGACATCTGACAACCCCACCATCCCGCCTGGAGCTGCGCCATGTACATGTCGTTACACGAGCAAGAACTATGTCGACAGCTGCGCGAACTGCCAAGGCGACACAACTACCGGTTCGAACTCGCTGCTGACCGTGAGCTGCGCGAGATACTTTTCAGATCACTTGCTGGTCGGGATGACTTCCTCCCTCTGTTCTTTCCAAATGGACCGCAAACCGACGGCCAGAAGCCATGGAGCTTGCGCGACGCACAGGGCGCAGTAGAGGGTGCAGAATACACTGCAGCAGCGAGGGGGAAGCCATGCGGGCACATCTTCAAGAATGGCGAGGCTACATACCGCTGCAAGACATGCACGGCCGACGATACATGCGTTCTATGCGCTCGCTGTTTCGATGCCTCAGACCACGAGGGCCACCAGGTCTTTGTTAGTGTCTCGCCTGGTAACTCCGGCTGCTGCGACTGCGGAGACGACGAGGCGTGGGTACGACCTGTACACTGCAACATACACTCAGTCGACCCGGAGCATGAGTCCAAGGCGGCTGGCAAGGCGAGGGAAGGCACCATGCTGCCAGATGAACTTGTCGAGACCATACGCATCACAATCGCCCGAACGCTAGATTACCTCATCGATGTCTTCTCCTGTTCCCCCGAACAACTGCGCCTACCTAAGAGCGAAGAGTCGATCAGACAAGACGAACGTAACTCACGCCTCATTTCGAGATGGTACGTCTCCGGAGACCACTCTGAAGAGTGCGACGAATACTGCTTAGTGCTGTGGAACGACGAGAAGCATACGGTCAATGACGTTAGAGACCAAGTCGCACGCGCATGCAAACAGAAACTGGCGTTTGGCCTTGCAAAGGCGTATGAGATAAATGACGTGGGGCGCAGTGCGATCGTATACCGAACAGACATCAAAGATCTTCTCAGGATGGCCAAAATCATCGAAGAGATCAAGTTGACTGTCACAATTCGATCTGCTCGAGATACATTCCGCGAACAGATGGGCGGTGCCATCATCGAGTGGATTTCGGACATTGCGGGTTGCAGTGTGGGTGAAGACAGCCAGATACTTAGACGCACCGTTTGTGAAGAACTGCTGAAACCGTGGCGAGTCGGTAGTGAGGCATCGAATCAGGGTATAGGCAAGAATGGTCTCGACGATCATGAAATGGAAGACAAGGAAGCTGAAATGGATGGCTTCTTCAATGGCCTGTTGCCTATGCAACGACGCCCACGGATTATCCGCGTTCAGCGACAGCGGACTACCGATGCCATTGATGATACCACTGGCTCAGACGATGATGACGATGATGAGGAGGGCGAGGGCGGCCCTGCAGCCGATGCCCAAGATGATATGGATATTGATGAGGTTGGCGCTCAGGACGAGGATGGTGACGTCGAGATGGAGGCGTACGAAAGTGCAGATGAGACGCTCGAAATGGCCGAAGCAGCCAGAGCAGGCTATCCTGCTCCACCACCGCCTCCCCCTGCTCCTCAAAACACACAACGTGGTCAGCTTGAACAGAGCGTAACACCCGCAGAGTCCGATAGTGAACCTGTAGTTGGTGCACCGTCACTCAGCCACGTCGAACCCATGTTACCTGTACCCGAGACGCCACATACTCGGACTTTGACATTGCGGCCAGCAAGGCCGGCCAAATATTGGCTGGAGAAGCCTGAAAACTATGGCAAGAAGCCCGGGACTCCTCCTCACGAGGATCTGTGGCAGCGCCTACGGCTAGATCATCTCATCTTATACGACTTGCGAATGTGGAAGCAGTTGCGCATTGGCATACGCGATGTCTTCATCAGCACAGTCGTTACAATCCCCGAATTCAAGCGTTTACTGGGTCTGCGCTTTGCGGGCGTCTATACAGCTCTAGCCCAGCTCTATCTAATCGCGGACCGCGAGCCGGACCACTCCATTATCAACCTCTCTCTCCAGATGCTGACGACTCCATCTATCACATCAGAGGTGGTTGAGCGTGGAAACTTCCTCACTAATCTAATGGCCATCCTTTATACCTTTTTGACTACGCGTCAAGTCGGTTATCCCTCGAACGTCGATCCGAAAGCCACGTTAGCCTTCGAGCAAGGGGCCGTGACCAATCGTCGCATGTATCACTTTTTCCTCGATATGAAATATCTCCTCGGATCAGAATTCGTCCAGGAGAGAATCCGTGAAGAGCCGCGCTACCTCTTACAATTCCTTGATCTTGTCAAGCTTCATCAAGGTATCTGTCCTAACGTTCGACAAGTGGGTGAGCATCTAGAATTTGAATCTGAAGCTTGGATCAGTGCCTCCTTGATCACTCGGGAGATCAACAAGCTGTGTAGACATTTCGCGGAATCTTTTGCCTGGACTCGCGATGAAGATCCAACCAACATTCAACGTGCAATACGTGCAGCCGCAAAGGTTGCTATCATTAACTCGCTAGGTGCTGAACGCAAACGCTTTGATCAGACCGAACTAAAAGAAGAGACCAAGTTCAAGACTTTGGACATTCTCGAGTTCCATTCCGAGTCATCTCAAAGGCAACCATACAAGATTGTTGATTACGTTGTTGCGACTCAGCCGATGAGCTTCCATCATGCACTTCACTATACTGTATCCTGGTTGATTGATCGAGCACGGAGCATGAATCGGGAGGACATCCTACGACTACTTCTGTTTTCTTACAGCGAACTACAAATGGACCTTGGCCCAGCTGTAGCGCCTATTCCAGTCCACGAGCCTGAAGACTACTTACTTGCCATGTTCGATTTCCCGCTTCGGGTGTGTTCGTGGCTGGCACAGATGCGCGCTGGAATCTGGGTTAGGAACGGTATCACATTGCGACACCAAATGACTCAATACCGAAGCGTATCACAGAGAGACGTTTCCCACCAACGGGACATTTTCCTCTTACAGTCTGCTCTCGTCTTGTGTGATCCGTCAGTTTTCCTAGCTTCCATGGTCGATCGTTTCGGACTTGTCGGCTGGATGACTGGGAGATATGAAGCTAGCTACCATGGATTCGAAGATAGCCAAGCTATTGATGTGGTAGAGGACTTTGTCCACTTGCTGATCATTATTCTCAGCGAGCGTACCTCGTTGATACCTGCAGAGGACAACGACGAGTCTCAACTGGTCGCTATGCGCAAGGACATTGCACATGTTTTGTGTTTCAAGCCACTCTCCTTCTCCGACATGACAGCACGTTTGTCAGACCGGATTCAGAACCTAGACGAGTTTCCTGAGGTGCTTTCAGAAATGACCAGATTCCGACCTCCAGAGGGCTTGTCTGATAGTGGTACTTTCGAGTTGAAAGAGCAATACATCGACTTGATCGACCCGTATCTTCACCAATACAACCGGAACCAGAGGGAGGAGGCGGAAAATATCTACAAAGCATACGTTGCTAAGCAAACCGGCAAGCAAGCGAGTGACATTGTCTACGAGCCGAAACTTCGACCAATCCCCTCTGGCTTGTTCCGAGATCTGTCAGCTTTTACAAGGACCCCGTTGTTCACTCAGATCATCTATTACCTCCTAGCATATGGTCTCAAGGCTGCGCAAGTTACACCAAGCATACCACCAACTCGTGTAGAAACATACATTCAATTTGTCCTACAATTGGTTCTTGTTGCTATCCTCGAAGACAAAAGCACAGAACATGGATGGTCTGAAAAGGCACCAGAGTCGTTTGTCACTTCAGTGTTGACTCAAAACGCCAGCATGGGAATACAAGGCCACCCGACTGTCCTTTCGATCTTAAAGTCTCTTCAGGATATCGAGGTTTTCAAGGCATGCGAGCCAAAGATCAGTTTGATACTTCATCGGCTCAAGCAGCGACAGCAAGATTCTTTCATCATTGCTGCTGCTGCAATCAACATGCCGGCTGACAGAATGGACACTGCCTCACCTGCGCCCCAAGATAAGGAGTCTAAGGAGCTGAAGAAGAAGCAAGCTCTTGAGAGACAGGCAAAGGTCATGGCAGCGTTCAAAGAGCAGCAAGGCAAATTCTTGGCCAATCAGGACTTCGATTGGGGTGAAGATGACTTCAGCGACCTTGAAGATGAAACCGGGGGACTTGTCGAACAAGAAAAGACACTGAAATTCCCCTCTGGCACATGCATACTATGTCAAGAAGACTGCAACGAACAGAGACTGTATGGATCTTTTGGATATATTTCCGAGAGCAGGATACTTCGGCAAACACCCTTGGAAGATTCAGAGTGGGTAGATGAAGTTGTACAGACCCCAAGTAGTCTTGACAGATCCGCCGAAGACCTGCGACCATTTGGCGTTGCGGGCAGAAACCGACGCATGATTGAGAAGGTGACGGCCACGGGTGAGCGAGTGACTAGT